TTAAGAGTGCACGCTTAATTTTCATGCATGAATATGACGCTAGAATATAAGTGAGTTTCACCTAATCGTTATGAACTTATATTCACAAGTAGTGGAGGTTGCTTATAAACAATCGCGTTAAATGAATTCTTGGCACGAGTTTCATGCTCATCATAGTAACGAATGTCTCGTCAACACTTATAGTTTTCATAATGCTTAATGATCTTTGATTGTATCTTTATTGTGTTGTTCACGTAAAGGACTTTTGGAGAATGTAGTGAATTGCGTTGCGCAAACCCATCCAATTCATTAACTTAAGGAAAACTTGACGGTTAATTTAAGCGGACCTAATTGACCCGGGGTGATGAGTTTCATAATTTATTGAAATGCAATTGGAAATCTTTTTATTATGTAAGTGTAACATGTGTGGAGATGAACCCCTTGGCTAGCATCCATTCATTCCATTTCATCAATTTCATATTTACATCCTGTCTAGTTTATTAACTTGTTTCGTTATTTCAATTTTCGTCAAACCTAAACCCCCCTTTACTTTCTTGTTCTTTAATGCTTAGAATCTGTTTAGTTTATGTTTTAAAGTATTTTTGAATTCTTTGAGTCTAGTTTAGTGTTTTATATTGCGTTTTTACGTTTTTGAGTCAAATCCAAGAGATTAACAATCCCTCCTAATCCCCGGTCCAGAACGATCCCTACTTATACTTATACTACAATTTGACAAAAAGAGGGTTTAATTTGTGTGCGTATAAATCACGCACCATGTTCGTGTCAAAATTTTGGCTTTTTCTACCAAACGGTTATTATTTGGCGATGGAATAAAGAAGCAGTGCGCTTTGCTAGAAAGTGACGTTTCTGGGTTTAATTGCGATTTTTGGAGATAACCTCTAATGGGTTTGTGGCCTTCTGAAGAAGTGTTCAGAATATTCCAAAGTTTAAATCTAGCTATTTTGGGTCAATTTTGGAGCAGATATGGGTCCAAAATGTGGCTGTAGAGATTTTGGGCAAATTTTACTATTTAATTTAGTATTATATTTCCAATTTATTTTAACTTATTTGGTTTCCTAATCTGATTGGAAGACCTTTTTCTAGGAGAATTGAATGATAGCCGTTTAAATAAACTTGGTCAGCCCTATTTTTCCTTCTTCTCTACATGATATCTGAGAGAGGAAATTGACCAAGCTTAGAGATTTCCAGACTTTTACATTCAAGGTGTTTTCAATCTTTTATTATTTCACTACAATTTCTTTTTATTTTAATTATGAATATGCGTAACTAATTTCTTTTGCTAGGGTGAGGCCATGAGCATTCAGACTTTTGAATGATTAATCGCTGGTTTAAACTATCTAAATGTCTTGATGATTCACGATCATTAAGATATTTAAAAAAGTAATTTGATGGAATTTTGGTCGAAGATCCGTCCCTGAAATTGACGAAAGCTTCTTGTGGTTAATATATGCAAGTTCACTTAGGAGAATTCTGAAAAGAATGTGTTTAGGAGTTTGTGAGTAGCAAATGGCTTAACTTTTTAGTGGGAGAATAGGGCTATTTATAGGGGAGTGGCCTGCCCTATTTGGAGAATATTGGTTGTCCATATGTGGTGAAATTGTATGAATAATTGCAAGATATTATGTGAAATAATATCTTGCAATTAACATGACAATTAATCTTAAATTAAATAGGAAAATTGGGAGTTACCTTTTAAATAAGGAAAACTAATGAAAAGGGCTTGAAAACTTTAAGTTTTAATGATAAGGACAAAATAAAGGGTAAAGTGAATAGTACCAGGATTGACATTTTAGTACAAAAATATGATTTTTCGTTAAAGTGAACAGTGTCATGGGCTTTTCGTTAAAACTTCCTTTTGAATAAGGATTTGATAAAAAGTGATGAAGGGGATTTGAATAAATACAATTTTAATCACCTTTGACTTTTCCTTGATTGAGCCGTTATTGTCTATTGCATGCGCGTGGGAATTCCGGTGTGCTTCGAGTGTAATTTTCTCCTTTTCACCCAACAATCTACGTGTTACCTCTATAATTTTCTTGATTATTTTAGCTCTACGTATTATATATGTTGTTAACTCTTTTGAACGTGTGGTAAAAATGTTATCACCAGGGAGCACCAGGACCATAGCCATCGGTTGAATAATCGTTGGTTGTGCCGCTACCGCATTCAAAAGAGCATAATGCATTGCTTATACGTTTACAATAGTGAAGCCGCTTCTTCATTATCGGTTTTATGTATGGGCTACTAATTATATAAAGTCCAAGAACTGCAAAGCCCAGATAAATAGAATGAACCCAACTTTGTAAAGTGAGTTGTCAAACTCCTTTCTCTTTTTAGGTTCGGAATCATTTAGCTTTAGCTATTGTTATACTACAGTATTCTACTACATTTGTAAATGAGAGTTCTAAAACTCGGCTCTCATAATTTTAAAAATAATGAGTTTAAATACTCAATTATGTTGCCAATTATATACGACTTAGCCCAAATCTCTCATCACTAATATTTTTTTCTCAAAAAAAAAAAAAAAACCCAAAGAATAACCATTTAGCTGCACAATATGTAAATTATAGGAAATTCTAAAGACAATAATTTATTCTCACTCGGAGTTTGTTTAATTTTAAGTCAACAAAATCTGTATGTACAGTCATTGAGAACTGCAAATACGCTCATGGATAACTGTAAAAACACCAATTTAATACATGAAATAAGCATGCAAAGTTTTGGATTTGTTTACAATAGCTTGCAAAATATTTGTACATAAAGTGGACTATAGGAACATTATCCTCAACCTAACTTAAAAGCGGAGACCACAATATGGATGCCTTTGGAATAATGGCAGTCTCATTTTTCGCCCCAAAGTTAGGCAGCTCTCAACTACAGACAAAGACCCTTCAGTTCTCCCCAAACCTCCACATTCCTCTTCAGTTTTCACCTTCCAGACAGTTTTTCTAATACCCCCACACGTTGATTAGGACACCCTTCAAATATCCAAACGAATCTAAACCCTACAATTAAGCCATATTAATGGCCATCACTGTCTTATTCGTCAAATATGGTTCTCAATACTTCAGAAGAATACGCTACGCTCACTCGCCCACGCTTGTATAGCTGATTTATGACCCAATGGATAGTGTTGAATTAGGAACATCACATCGAATGTCTGGTGAGGACTGGAGATTTTGGGTCTATTATTTTGAAATAAGGTGTATGTTTCTACTTTATCCCTCTTACCCAAAGGTCCCAAAGCCAAAGCCAAGAGGACCCCTTTGAAATTTTGAATGCAATGAACAGTGTACAAATTGGCATCTCTCCAAATGGAATATAGGAAAAGAGAAAGTGTAGCAAGCTTTACAGCCCATCATTCTTATAGCTTTTTGTAGGAGATTGATTAGTTAGCAAAATCAATATGGCATTCATGATTGCCATTTACCACTGAATACACCTAGGGCTCAATGCTTACGCCCAATCTACTAGAAAAAACTTGAGTGTCACGTCATGTTACGTGGTAGGTTGAGTGATAAGTATGGTTAAAAATATAACATGTATTATAAATAGGGAGCAATTAATTGTAACAAAAGTTATATTCTGATAACAATTATGACCTATTCATTTAATGCTAGTCGAACTCAAGAGCTACTTAACTTTGAACGTCACACAAAGCTCACAAGTTATTAAACGACCGGCCAACACAAGTTATATACCTACTACGTGGCAAGAAGTTCCCAACTCAAAATTCTCCCCAAACCACATGGTCATCTTCAAGTTCTATGATTACTACATGAAATCCAAGTCTCCTTACTTTTTACTTCTTTGTCTTTCTATTTTGGACATATTTAAGTTTGGACGTAACACAAAGCTCACAAGTTATTAAACAACCGGTCAACACAAGTTATATACCTACTACGTGGCAAGAAGGTCCCAACTCAAAATTCTCCCCAAACCACATGGTCATCTTCAAGTTCTACGATTACTACATGAAATACATGTCTCCTTACTTTTTACTTCTTTGTCTTTCTGTTTTGGCCAGATTTCAAGATCATTCTCCCCAAACTACATGGTCATCTTCAACTGCTATGATTACTATATGAAATCCAAGTCTCCTTACTTTTTACTTCTTTGTCTTTCTATTTTGGCCATATTTCAAGACCTACTTAACTTTGGACGTAACACAAAGTTCACAAGTTATATACCTATTACATGGCAATAAGGTGCCAACTCAAATTCTCCCTTAACTACATTGGTCATCTTCAACTCCTATGATTACTACATGGAATCCAAGTCTCCTTAACATTTTACTTCTTTGTCTTTCAATTTTGGCCAGATTTCAACACCTACTTAACTTTGGACGTAACACAAAGTTCACAGGTTAATAAATTACCGGCTACGTGGCAAAAAGGTCCCAACTCAAAATTCTCCCCAAACTACATGGTCATCTTCAACTCCTATGATTACTACATGGAATCCAAGTCTTCTTACTTTTTTACTTCTTTGTGTTTCTATTTTGGCCAGATTTCAAGCCCCAGTTCGCTTAGTATGTTAGCATAATTGACAACATATGGTTAAAATTAGATGTTTTTGACTTTCTAATCAACCTTTGCGTGCAGTCACACTTCATAAATGACCTTTAAGGAAAGAAAGAAAGAAACAAAATTATACTTGTCTGACTTAAGAGATTTTTCAACATGTTGGGATCACGATCGGTACATCAAGTGTTATAGTAAAATTAATCTGAAAATTTGAAAAATAAATTTCCAACCAATTGTACTATTACATATGGTGTCCTAAGCCGTGCTTTCTGCATCCTAAAAAATTTCTCATTTGGGTCCTCTCTTGGCCATGAGATGGATAGTTTTGTTTGTAGGAATTAGGTAGGTGGTTTGGCATGATGTTCTTGACCAAGTAATACACATCGTGAATTCGACTGGCACTCGATTGAACCAACATAACACAATTATAATATAATAAGTAATGTGACACACAATTGAATCAACGTAACATAATTACTAGAATACATAATGTATTAAGTGACGTACCACCCAAAACACATTATTTGCTTCTCTTTTTTCTACAAGAGCCAAGAAAAATAAATAGGATTTTCAGCCAAATTACAAAACCATACATCTCCACACACATCACTCAGCTAACTCTTAATTTTCCTTCCATTTCTCTCTTTCCTTTTTTTGGACAGGGAAATTACAAAAGCAAAATTTCAGATAAGTCACACAAAACTAGTGTACTACAAAATACAAACTTCCGTGGTGGAATCTTGAGATTAAAATTCCTCTTTCTTCAGTTCAATGCAGATTCAAAGTGGCATCTTATCTTTGCTGCTACGAACTGAAAACAAATCACCGTTAGTTTAATCATAATCTCTACAAGGATGCAGGACCAAATGCTAAATTAATTAATAAAGACAGTTTTGTTTATGTAATGATTAAACATCGAACTTACGATGAAGTGCAGAAAGTTCAGAGCTCTTCAGCACACGCACCCTCTTCACAGTAGACACAAACATGCTGCAAATCAAAGATCAAGGAGCAAATTACACAATATTGTTTAATCTCACGTGCAAAAGGACACAATACGATGCCGTTGTATTCAGTTGCGGGAATCACTACATTAAGAAACAACAAACGAAAACAGTAGGATGATTTTTATGGATAAAAAGGAGAAGCATATAGTGTTTAAAGATTAGGAATCTAATGCTGCATGATTTGATAAATGGGAGATTAAAACTGAAATCATATCAGCGAGTGAAGGAATAATAATCTAAAATTTGCATCAGATCCACAGAGATGATAAGATGCTTACTGCCATGGGACATCCCCAACAAGCATCCTGTCTCCTTCATTATCTTCATAAACAAGGGTGTATTCTCCACTTCCATCCAATAAGCCTGTGATTTCTTTCTCTTCCTCTTGCTTGTTCTTGGTTCCACCATTACAGGATTCTCTTTGAGCTAAACATAAGATCGCGCAAACGACAAACACAATTATATATAAGAACAAAGGATGTATTTTCATGAAAAAGAATCCGAAAACCCCATCAAACAAATTGCAGCAAAAACCAAAACATTATAAAATTTGTGTTGGTAAAAAAGGGATTAATTTTGACCACATGAAGTAGACACTGATCTAAATCATACACTCTCAACTAAAAATGCTAAGAATAATTTTTAAAAAGTAAATTCACAATGTGGCTACTATAGTAATTAACTAGTGAAGATTAACTGTGATAATTACCGGCGAGAAGGCCACGGAAGAGTTCATCGACAGCGGACGAGAGCTTTTGGTAGCTGTCATAAGCACCGAGGTCCACTTTTCTTCCAATGGGGACTCCATCCATGTTAATTTTCACAAACAGACCCTTTCCGCTGGTTTCAACTGGTTTACCATTAGGATCTTTGATTTGGACAACATTTTCGGATTCGACTGCTGATTTTGATGAGCTTTTGTTGCTTGCAAGATTCTTCCTAAATGATCGAATTGGAGGCCAACCCACAACTGGAGCAGGAGCAGTTCTGTTTTTATTATTTTTATTTTTTTTTTGGAATATCAAAAGAGAAATAATTAGCACAAATTAATTCATACAAAATCTTATACACAAATTCATACAAAACATGAGGAAAAAATATTGTAAATGTTTGCAGGGCACAAATAAAAATTAAATCATACAGAAATATGAAAGAATTTGTAAATTTGCATATAATAAATTTTGTAATTGCAATAAAAGACATCAAGAACTAAAAAATAATGTAATACTTTAAGAGATAATTAAGAATCAATGACAGAGAAACCAAAACCATGCATGAAAATGGAAGAACAGATGGTATGCTTGGGCAGACCAAAAAAGAAAAACAAGCTTGATTATGAACAAGCAGCAAAAAGCAATGATAACTTCTGTGTCACAGGAAAAATTACAGAAAAAGGAAAATAATTTGACACTTCACAAAAATGGAAAAAATAATTTAAAAAAAAAATAGAAAAATTATGCATGGACCACAACTTTGTCTAGTCTAGCTCCTAGCAATGAGAACTTGTGGGTGAATATCCTGTCTGAAGAAATTAAAATAATAATAATATTACACAAGAAAGTAGAAAAAGCTGGATCACCTTTTCTGAGAGGTGTTGGGGAGCACAGCTGTATTTGCAGGGGCTGGTGAAAACCCTTTATTTTCTGCATTCTGCAAGTCTAGTGCTTTAGTGCACCAGGGCTGTGACGCTTTGTTGGGGGTGACAGGCAGGTGAAGAAAAGATGCAACTTTTGCTTGCTGCTGGTAAGAAATAAATTTCTGGGTTTGGTTGGAGGACATGGGGGAAGAATAGTATCCAAGAGAGAGAAGGGACTGAGACTTCCCATCTCTCTCTCTTTTCATTGACCAGTCTTGACCTGGAGGGCCAAGCCTGAGCTCAAGCTTCTTCTCCTCTGAGGAGGAGCTTCCACGGCTGCTGCTTCTCTCAATATCTCTGCTCACAAGCCAGTCTCTCTCTCTTGGAATCAAATCTAACAGTTGTGGGCATGCCTCCTTCTCCTTCCTTGTACATCCCTCCATCTCAGTGGCCATATCTAAAGACTCAGTTTTTGAGATGACCCAAGTGAAAAAATCAAATCTTTTTTCCTCCCCTTGTACTTTCACACACCAGATGTACAGATTGGAGGAACTGAACTGAGAAATGGAAGGAACAGAAAAGTTAGAGGAGATTAACAAGCTTGGCATAAAAAAGAATAAAAAAGGGACGAAAGGGGACAAAAGGGTTTTACCTTACGAAATTCTTTAACCAAAGCTCAAAACTTTGAAGGCCAACATCCTCAAGTACTCAAATTGCTCACTTGGTCTCACACACACCTTTGATATCAAAAGATCTTGAACACACAAGCACAAAGGAAAACCCAAAACCTGACAAGGGTAAGAAAAAACAAGGAGAACAATAACCAACCCAAAAACACAAAAGGGATAGGGAAGCTAAAATAGGGTGGGGATTGATGTATATGGGGTTTATTTTTTTCTTTTAAATTTTATGCAGGCTTTAGTGGGTTCTCTCTCTCCTTTTCTTTTTTCCCTCTCGATCTCTCTACTTTTGGGACTCGTGGGTTTTATGAGTAGTTGTTGTGAGAGGATTTTACAAAGAGTAGCCTCCTAGCATTATTCTTTTACAAATAAAAAAATAGAAAACAAAGTGAAAAAAGATAGAGAAATTTTCATTGTAATGAGAATAGATATAGTAGATCATATATTTTTATATAAGTGATGAGAAATTTTACTTTTTAAATTATTAACTTTTTAACGCACATATTCTATCATTTACATAGTGACATGTGGTGTACTATCCCGTGTTTCGATCACATTGAAAAATCTCTCAAAAAGATATTCCCTTCACCCCAAATAACACCAAAACAGGAAACAGAAATTAGAGCAAAACGCACGCAACCAGATCCTCTCTCTCTCAAAACACAACGTTAATAAGAGGAGGAGGAGGAGGAGGTTGTTCAACTCAGGAAGCAAAGCGTGCTGTGCTGACCTCCCTTCCTTCTGTCACTCTCTCTCTCTCTCAAAACACTCGATGGTCTACCACGCTGTCACCAACCCCAAATGTTGTTCAACCTCATTAGCACACAACTCCAAACATCCCCTCTTTATTTGAAAAAGAGACAATGACATTCTTTGCTCCCAAAGTCACTGCCCTATTTGCCTAAAGCCTAGTGCTTTACATTGCATTGATGTTAATAAAAGTCAGTTTAGTACATACAAACTTTGTTTAACACAAACCCCAATACGTTGTTACCTTTTTTAGCACCGAAGTCACTTGTTGAAGTATATGTCAATGCATATTAGATTGATTATAAAACATAATTTTACTTTCTTTTTTTTTTATAGAGACAATATTTAGGATAAATCGCTCACGCTCACATTGGTCGTTTATGATTGTTCATGATAGGAAGACTCGACGGACACAACAACATGACGGCTAATCGTAGTGCTCCACTGGTTTACAATGACATTCTAGCTAAAAAAGTCTAGTGATTGTTTCCAACAGAAAAAAAAGGCCTAGTGATTTATATTGAATTGATGTTAACAAAAGTTGATTTAGTACACAACCCTTGTAGATTTCTTGTTTAGCACAAAACCGAACACTTTTTGCCTTTCATTAGTGGTAAAGTCATTGGATTAAGTAGGTGTTAATTTAGGAGGATAGGATAAGCAAAGACACGTGTTATCTTGTCAGGCTTAGCTTTTGAGTTTAACAAACTAATCGGGTTACTTTTTAGCAGGCCAAGAAATTGATGGATGGGATGTTGTCTATTGGTCTATTGGCCAATTAATTTCCTTTTTTCATTTATTTATTTATTTTTAATATTATGTGCTTCCAAGAAAAAAAAAAGAGAGGAAGAGGATTTGCATGATCCATTGCCGGGCTTGTGCTATAAAAACATGCAGATCCCATGATCCTTTCTCTCTCTCTCTCTCTGTTCGTTGCCATCCACACATACAGTGGTGATCTGGTGTGGGAGAGTCGACCGCAAAAACTGTGTAAACCATACACACCATAGCCGTTGGATTCGTGATTTGTCTTGGCATTTGATGTGATGCAACGCGCAACGGGACACAGAGCTCAAGGGAACTGGTACTGTACTCTGACCAGCAGCTGCTTAAAGGAGAGCTGCTTTTGAGAGAGATGGGAAGTTTTGTACTCTACGTTAAAGAGTTTGAATAACTCGGCAAATAATCGCCTATCGGTCAGGTTTGTTTTCTCACCATAATTGGTAGTTCACCAACCAGCAAATACTGCACACTTCATGACCAAATGATGCCCTCTGATTTTTTTTTATGGAACATAAATTATTTAAAGAGAAAAACCACAAGTACAATTACTTTTAGTACAATTGAAGAGAAAAACATTTCTAGCAGTAGTGGACAAAAATTATATCCCAAATAAAAGATCATGAATAGAGCGTCCAACACTATTAATGACATCGGCAAAAAAATTCACCTCCCGAAAGTATGAGTCCAAGATATAGAAGAAAATGATCATGCAAGTAATCTGATCCTCTATAATAATCTTCAATCGCCAAAGCATTTTGCACTTGTTCAAAATATAATCGATAACGAGCTTGAAATCACCCTCAACACAAACATCCTTAAAACCATTGACTTTTGCAAACTTAAGCGCATCACGTAAGATAAGAGTTCCAGTAACAGATATAGTATTCTCTCTAAGATTGCATGTCCCAACAACAATAGGAGACCCATTATGATCTTTGGTGATAAAGCTTGCAGCCGCTTGAGATCTCAACAGCACGAGAGGCTTTCCACTTAATAATCTGAGAATATTTATGAAAAACAAATGATGCCCTTTGATTCTCAAATGGGAACACTGGTTTTTCATTCTAGTATTTGCTAATCTACACCAAGTAATTTAGTTGAGTAAGATCATATGTTTAGATCGCATTATAACTTATTATATTTTCTAATGTTATTAAATTTGATCAAGTCAGGACATTGGAATATATTATAAATCACCATATTAGATTTCTCTACCGTTATTCTTTTCATCATTCTTTTTTTTCCACTTTCTTTTTTTTTATTATTTATGAAACTTCCGTTCGTTAGAAAAAAAAAATATCAACAAATAATTAACATCTACTTCCACATTATCCTTCATTCAAAATAAACATCTTTTAGGCAAGAAATGCTAACACACGTTCAAACAATAGTGACTTCATTATTCTATATAATACGGGGAGCTAGGATTTGAGGACACACGTTTTTTACGCACATTTTTGTGAAGCCCACTCCATTATGTATTTCAAATATCTGAATCGTTTATCTTTTAGATCTTTAATTAAAGATCATGTCGGGCTAAAAATCACCCAAATACGAGATCATATGACTGTTGTATTAAATTTAATGTTTCTTTGTAGAACTCTATTTATTCATTTTCTTTACTACAAATGAATGTCTTAATAGTTTTGAATTTGTCTATTTTTTTTTTGTAAGGATAATCTATAAATAATGTACCAAAATATAAACGATTCAAATCGTTGAAATACATTATAAAATGAATCCTACAAAATAGGTGTCACTAACGCACAAAATTGTTATTTTAAAGGATAACTGATCAGGATGAGCAAAAATATTCACAATATGTTATAAAGAGTGTCGGTTAATAGAAATGTTTAAGCGAAGACCTATGTTATATATACACTAGGAATTACATCATGTTTTTGTAAATTATTTTATTGGTCGGAACAAATCCATGTGTTGGCATGCATATATTTCTTCTTCCACGTAGCGACGGATCATTTTGGTCAACAAGGCAACTTAACGCAAGAAATGGCATGAATTGAAGTGATTTTGATGTATGTACGCATCAAGACCTTGGGAAAATAAATTCGTTCAAACCTACTGTTTTCTTTCTTTGAAAAAAAAAAAAACTTAATTATTGGAAAATGACTATTATATTCGGTCCCAATATAATCAAAGAGAAAAGCATTCCAAATAAGGGTAGATAAATTATGAGCTCATATATGAATATTTTGAATTGTAAGTCCTACACTAATAATAATGCATCGACGGAAAAATTAGCTTCTCAGTATATAGAGTGAAATGAAGTTACCAACCGATGAATATCTTCAACCATAGCCTTCAATCTCAAAGCTACTTTTTTTTTTTTTTTTTTTTTTTTTTTAACAAACAATAATATCTACACTAAGGAAGTAGGGGAGTGAACTAAGTCTTTCAATGGACTTGTTATAATAATGTGGTTCAATTTCTCTTTTGACGAGAATCGAACTTAAGATCGTTTACTTACAAGTGAAAAAAAAATACTGTTAAACCGTAATGTGTCCAAAGATACTGTTTTTAGATATGCAAATTTTCAATATTTCCGTTTTCTTTTGTGCATCATTAGATGTTTGATAATACAATTTTGAAATGTTTAAATACAATTCAATCCATGTAGTGGGTTGGTGAAAACATTTTTGTAAACAAAAATAAATTGAAAGTTGAACAAATCGGCGATTATTTGCGACCGAAGTGTTTGAGAGCCATGGTTGGCTGGTCTGGTTGGATACCGGGAAACGCATACTATGCAGAGGGTTAAACTACGAGAGATTTTTTAGTATGATCATCACACGAGATGGTACATCATGTATCTCTATATAAATGATGATTTATGTATGTTAAAAGGTTAATAACTTAAAAATTAAATTTTTTCACCATTTATATAAAAACACGTGATATATCATCCGTATTTCCATCATAACTAAAAATTTCTCCAAAACTACCAAAGCCTATATATTTGTAGGATTTGGTAAATCTAAGACTGGACGCCACGTGTCGGAACCTTAAAGCCCTTTTTTTGTGTGCTGACCCTACAATGTCGCTTTCTCCTCCCGCGTGGGGTGCACGTGATCTCTTGGCCTCCGACCAACTCAACATGTTCGACGTTTAACTCCCTCTTATAATACGGTGCCACCCTCCCCCGCTTGTAGGGATGGCAACAAGGCGTGTTGAAATTAAATTTGAACACCACCGTAGATGGTGGAGTCGACTATTGATAAAGAAATAAACAATCGAAGTCAACTTGAGGTAACGGTATGGTGAGGGTATTTATACTAGTCATGAGAGAGATTTTTAAGATATGGAATCCGTATTAAAACGGGAGAATTTAAGGTAAGAATAAATATTGTGTTCATTTAGGAGGGTTATTAAGTGTTGCACACGCCAATCACTAGATTTTGAGAACCTCCATAAATATAGGAAACTCAGCCAATTCCTAGTCGGATATGATTTCCGTGTCTTGCAACACAAGAATGGTCAATCTCATCGAAGTCGCCTGACTTAGCCTACCTTCCCATTGTACAGTAAGATGTGGTAGCATTATGGGTGGTTTTGGTACATTACCGTACCAAAACCTCTGTA